GATACCTTAGACAATTTGTCTACTTGGGCTATTCAGCTAGGTATCGAATTCTCCACGGAGAAAACTGAGTTGGTCGTTTTTTCTAGGAAGCATAGCCCAGCACAACCAAAGCTTCAACTTTTGGGTAAACCGATCACTCATTCCATGTCCTTCAAATATCTTGGGGTCTGGTTCGATTCAAAATGCACCTGGAGATCCCACATTGAGTATCTGAGACGAAAATGCCAACAAAGGATCAATTTTCTCCGAACAATTACCGGAACGTGGTGGGGAGCCCATCCGCAAGATCTTCTAACGTTGTACCGGACAACGATTTTATCGGTTTTAGAGTACGGTAGTTTTTGCTTCCAATCGGCGGCTAAAACTCACATCATCAAACTGGAACGTATCCAGTATCGTTGTCTTCGTATCGCGTTAGGATGCATGCACTCGACTCATACGATGAGTCTAGAAGTGTTGCCACTATCGGATCGGTTCTCGGAATTGTCCCTCAGGCTCCTCACCCGTTGCGAAGTTATGAACCCACTGGTAATCGAAAACTTTGAAAAGCTTCTTGAGCTGAACCCTCAAACTCGTTTTATGTCATTGTACTACGTGTACATAACACAGGATGTCAGCCCTTCACAGCATAATCCTCATCGTGTATGCTTCTCCGACTTCGGCAATTCAGTTAGTTTTGATTTATCTATGACGCGGGAGATTCGTGGGATCCCAGAACATCATCGTTCCATGATTGTTCCGTCAATTTACGCTGCAAAGTTTGGCCAAGTTGATTCCGCAAGATCGTTCTTCACAGATGGATCACTAATAGAGTCGTCCGCTGGTTTTGGTATTTTTAACGAATTTCATAGCGCCTCTCGAATGCTTCAAGCTCCTTGTTCCGTATATGTTGCTGAGCTGGCGGCAATACATTATACGCTAGAAACGATCGCCTCACTTGCACCAGATCATTATTTTATTTTTACGGATAGTCTCAGTTCTGTCGAGGCTATTCGCTCTATGAGGCCGGTAAAACACTCCTCGTATTTTCTCATGAAAATACGAGAGCTTTTAAGTGCTTTATCTTTCAGATCTTTTGTCATCACCTTTGCATGGGTCCCATCTCATTGCTCGATTCCGGGCAATGAGATGGCTGACTCACTTGCTAAGGTGGGCGCTATGGAAGGCGATATTTACGATCGACAAATCGCCTACAATGAATTTTTCTTCATTTATCGTCAACAGTCACTCGTCAGCTGGCAGAATAAGTGGAGTGAAGGGAGTTTGGGACGATGGCTATATTCGATCATCCCTAAGGTGTCGAAGAGTTCTTGGTTCAAGGGGTTGGATGTGGGTCGAGACTTCATTCGTATGATGTCTCGCCTCATGTCCAATCACTATTCGTTAAACGCTCACTTGTTCCGTGTTGGGCTGGGGGACAGCAATCTCTGTGAATGTGGACAAGGTTACCAGGACGCAGATCACATTATTTGGTCTTGTGCTGAGCATCGCGGAGTCAGATCTGAACTGTACGATTCCCTTCGGGCTCGAGGTAGACAACCTAATGTTCTAGTTCGGGATATTTTGGCTAGACGCGATCTGGAGTTTATGAAACTCATATATGTTTACTTTAAGAATATTAACATTAGATTGTAAGTTTTATTAACCTTGTGTTTAGTTTGTATTTTGTACGTGTGAGTTTTTTTATGTTTGTTTTCAAGATGAATAGAAAATAGTTCATGTTTTAGGATTAATTAAATATTTGTATCGTAAACCACATTTCAAACCTCCCTCTCCCTTTTCCCATCCAAAAAAAAATTGCAAATCCCCACTAACCTCGAGACAACCGCGAGTATCCGGTCCAGCTCCTTTAACTTTAAAGATAAGAAATCAATAATGTATAACAAAAATGATAACTCGGCTCTGTAAAGTTTATTCGATTGAGCCTGTACAAATAAAGTAATTAATAAAAAAAAAAAATCTCACCAGTAAGAAAGCTTTTTTTATTATAGTTATAAAGAAAAATAAACGTTGAACCTTTATTTTTTATTTTTTTGAAAACACACTTTCCATTCATGAACGTAACGGTCATGTTCTTCTTCTACGCATTTGAAGCTTATTGCTTATTGCATATTAGCTTATTGCGTGCTCTTAACTTAGTGTTCTAAATGCACTTCCACAGTTATTAATTGAGAGCTTTCGATGCCAAAATCAATGCATGAGTTTACTGTTAACGTAACTGTCATGTATCGTCGACAAACCCATAGTTCAAAATCAATTTGTAATCCATTATGTACCATGTTTTTACTGCAATTTTTATCCATCCAACGTTATTTCTGTCTTTTTGAAAATCTAACTTTTTTTTAGTAGGGCTATAGCACTCTAAATTAGTCATCTATAATTAATCTATTCGTTTGGTTAGAGTACAACCGAGAAATAGCGATGGGAAAATGGTAGAACGCTATTCGGAGGATGTTACTCATTTTACATACTTGCGATTCACTTTTACATAAATATCTGTTTGCTATCAGCCAAATGAGATTAAATATTTTTTGAAGTGCTCCCAATGTTGAAAATATACCTCTTCTTATGTCCCAGGCAAATTTTGTCTTCTGAGCACAAACACAACTTACTACTTGTTTTGTTTTTGCAAGCCTAAAAATATATACTAATACTTAGACTAATTATAAGTTTGCAACTGTTGCCTATGCGTAGCTTCAAATGCGTATAGAAGAAGAACATAACAGTTACGTTCATGAATGGAAAGTGTGTTTTCAAAAAATGAAAAATAAAGGTGCAACGTTTATTTTTCTTTATAACTATAATAAAAAAAAGTGTTCTTGCTCGTCAGAAAAATTACACAAATAAGGGTATTAGCAAGTAGCAGCTGTCATCCACAACTGTAATTATATATACCTGCCAATCTATCTGATTTCATCGTACTTCACGTTTTGGCTGTATCCCATAGAACCACAATTAAATTATGGACAGAAGTAAATAAATGAGGTAGTTATGATTTCAAAGAATGAGAATCCAGCCAAGAACATGTGAAAAATAATATAAAAATATTATTGTGCCATCAGCATGAAGGAATTCAAGAAAAAATAAAAATATATTAAATAGCATTGATTTTTCACCAGAAAAGCTCAAAACTACCTCTCACTCATCTGGCCATATCTCAAAAACTATTAGTCCAAATCATTTGCCCTTGGAAACACATAAAGTAGAAGAGTTTTCCAAAGTGTGGTGGAAATATTAAGAAACAAAAAATCCCGCCCATGGTGAAAATAGACCATTTTTTGACAATTTGGATACCTGCCGGTAATTAGTCTGTTTACTGTAAGTACTATTACAAAAACAACATGTTTGTACACATATATGAATCTACATAAAAAAAAACCTTGAAGTTGACGTTCTATTATTACGAATAGCTTATTTGGTTGTGGAGTAATCTCTTCTGAAAGTTGAATTTTTTAAAAATCTCGAAAATCCAGGGTTGTAGTCCAGAAGGATCTAGGCACTTTAGAGCAAAATCAAAAAAGGCGTTTGTTCAGAATTCCAAAATAAGCATTTTGGCCAAGTTTGGCTCAAATCGGTGACATCGACCACAGGTGGTGTACCCACTTGAGCTGGAATGACCCATAAGTGTTCTTTTTTTATATTCGTCCATACACTTAAAAAAATGTACACGTCACTATTATGTTGTTCACAATTAATTTTGCACAATTTTTCAAACACATGCATTTCATGTGTGAATCTTATGATATGAATTGATTTCTGAGCACTACAAAGCTACTACATTTAGATGTTATGTTTCTCACTTATTGATATTAACAGTCTCACTCACTACCGTTAAATGATCTATTCTTGAAATTATACTGTAAATCATAACTAATTGGAGTGCCTTGCATTTAGGTATTAAATGTAAAGTATTTTGAAACGAAGTGTTATTTTCCAATGTTTATTTTCTTATTATGAAAGTAGATAATCATAGTAGATAGACCGGGTTTTAACGATATTGGGGGAAGTATGTTAAAAATATATTAATTTTCCATCCGACATATAGTCGATTCCGATAGAACTGATCTAAACGCAAATCGGAAACGGCAAATAAATCCTGATGGATAAAGAAATGAGTGTAAACGTAAACAAAATCAAACAACAATTCCTTTTAAGCATTTCCTGTAATCTGTCACGAAAATCATAGCTCTCAGAATATCCTCCGAAACCGATTTCTCCTTACATTAATCGACTACTCCACCAACGCTGGAAACAAACTGAAAATAAATTAATGAACATACCTTTTCTACTAAAAACCCATACATTACAACACCCCTGGATAAATTGGCTGCGAACGTCCGGCCACGGGTTTTAAATTTAACATTTACCAATAGTTGTAGACATTTGGATTCAGATAAAACCAGGGTTTTTATCTGGCCCTCTTGAAGCTGAAAGGTTGAAAACCAATAATATTATTGTTTACTTTTGCTAAGCAAGCATCCTCTTGAAATGCAAAACACTTCGAATTTGTATGTTTTTAAATGTAGCGCAGATTCATGGATATTTTAATTGAAGGTAGCGTGCAATGCACTTGAATTTATCATGTGGGATCTTTCATCATTCCATAGTTAGAAACATGAGAAATAAGTGTGTAAACACATTGAATCAATGTGGAAAACACATACAATTATTGTGATTGATCAATTGAACAGGCAAGTGTTAAAACACATGAATCTGACATGCACATTTTTTTGAGTGTAGTAATTCCCATACAAATTTCAAATAATTTGCGCGACCTCTAAACCTTTATCAATCGTTACCATTTTTTGCACTGGTTAATTTTTTTTTCTTTATCCGTAAGTCAGTTGTTCGCTGACATTAGTACTTAAACCCTAAATCCTGAAATCAAAAAAAAAAATTAATATCATGGTAATGATAATCATTGTTAAATTAAAAAAAAAACTACATTTGAGGAATTCTAATGATATTGAACAGAACTATTCCTGGTTTGTCTTTTTCAGATATGTTTAAAGTCGTTCAAACGTAAGGAACAGCTAACATTACACATCGTCATCCACACCGGTGAGAAGAAGCACGTTTGCATAGAATGTGGCAAAGGTAACACGTTCAAATTTTGGTCTTGAACAGAAGAACTGTACTCATCTAATTGCAGGCTTCTACCGGAAGGATCACCTCCGCAAGCACACCCGTTCGCACATCGCCCGTCGCGTCAAGTCGGAAATGTCCGCCCAGTCGGGCTCCGGGTCCGGTACCAACAATTCCAACAACTCCAACAATAATAACAACAACAACAACAATAACAACGGGGCCCTTGCTTCCTCGCTGATGGCTACCAACATGCAGGGAGCACCGGTGACAGCCTCTTGAGCCTCGTACAAGGACTTTTGGTAAGGTGGATGTTCTAGTTTTTTGCGGAAGACAAATTTGAGCTGCGAGCCAATGCCAACGGAGTCGGACGAAGTTTGTCGATGAAAGACCTAGGTGCAATTTTTTCTGTTGATCTTTACACTACACACGACGACTCACTCAACCAATAGCCAATAGCCCCGTCTTTTGTTTTTGTCATTATACAAACTATAGCGCAACAAATAGTTGACAATTGTTAGAGTTTATATCGAGTAAGCTTAATTTTCATCGACACTATGACTCGCGAATCGATTGGCATTGCTGTGCTCAAGAGAACATCATGGATACCATGCCAAAAGCCCATACCTATCTGTTGTCTGGTCGTGGTCAGACAATTCCGACTTGTGTTCCCATCGCAAGCCAAACACTTCTACGATCAAGATCTAACCTGAATTATACGGCACAATATCGAACACTATATTAAACACACCGAAATGGAAGAGGTCTCTCAACCCTCTACCGGACCGAGTATACGTGCAATCTGACCTGACCTGAATCTATCTCCACCGGTAAGCGATTAGTAGCCAACAGTTGTTGCACAAAACTGACCTATTCCATCTATTGCGGCTTTTACGATAGAACTTCCTCCCCAAAATTCGCTTTATTCTAACAACCTTCGGAATCTGAAATCTCCGCCCCTGAATGATAGCAATAATTTTTCAAGAACAAAAAAAGCATTCAAGCGATCGTTTAATACGTCATCCCTTCAAACCCGTCTGCCGGGGAATGGGAGGGGCTACTGACTGGTACATAACAGACTAATGAAGATATACGAAATCAATAAGCTTAAAGACGGATAATATTTTTCTTACCGAGAGTTGCTAAAAAAGTTGCAAATATACGACGATATACAATTGGAGAAAGTGTAATATTTTATTTATTGAGAGCGAACTGTAACTGATGTGGTAGATGATATCCTTAAGAATATATATATTTTGTACTGAGTATTGGACAGATTCCAGTAAAAAAGAGATGTTTAAGCTAACAAAAAATACTATATATTAAACCAAAAGTATTACGATGACTACATATATGCATAAAAGTTTTAACAGTCGTAAGGATAAGAAGGTAAAGCAGAACAGTACAGTTGTTAAAATGATAGGAGCAGAGTTTTGGTAAAGGATTTGAACTGGACGGAATTGCGGAATCTTAGCTAAAATGCTCTCGGAAACCAGCAAAAATAGACTACCTTGCATAAAAAGAACAAACTATGTCTACCTATAGAAAACAAAGAAAAAATCTCCTAAACTTACTTTAAAACTAGACAGAGACAAAGCAAAATACATTATCGCATGCAACAAAATAAAAGTATATAAGAATTCAAAGTACAAAACTAACAAGAAAAAGAGAAAATAAATACTGTTGAAACAATAGCGAACAAGAGATACATACTACGATACAAATCGAAAAAAAGTAAAACATACAAAATAAACCGAACGTTACTCAAAAAAAAAAAAGTTGCAGAAACAAACTTACCAAAGCGATGTTCAAATAATTACTACAACAAAAACGAAAAGAAAGTATGAAAGATTCAAAAATCCAATATAGAATAAACAGAAACAAATAAAAACAACCTATCATATTTCGTATAACCGAGAGAACAAAACATTGATATAGCGACCCAGAGAAAGGATCTAGTCGAGAGATAAACAGAAAATGCTATTTTATTATTTTGAGTAGAAACAGATGCATAAACTACCCTACCTGTATAGAACAAATCCAAACCAGTGAATCTTGAAACGAATCAAAAAAAAAAAAAAAAAAACAACATAACCGGAAACCGAAGAATTGAGATCTAACAAAAATATTCCTTTCAAGTGACTGGAACGATGAACCGAACAAACAAGCAAACTAAAACCCAGAAAACATATGTTATACTGTTGTGCAATAGCCATAGGAGCCGATTTTAAACATTTAAACAAGACAAGTAACCAGAAGAAAAAGAGGAGAAATTTCGCTGAATTGCATTTGGTTGTTTCAACGAGGCAGAGCAGTTCAGGTTGAGGAGGAGGGGGGGGGGAGTGGTGAAACGAAGAAGGTGATCAAATGTGTTTGCATATAATTTAACTAGATGCGGAATTGCTGGAAGCTGAAGTGAGATTAGTGATCATTTCTCGTTTATTTTCTGTTGTATCGTTTTCATCATGAGTCTAGGAATCATGTCAAGCAGGTCGTCGCTATACTAAAATCCACTGTACTGTTATAGTGAGACTTTGCTGTGTGATGGGAATGAATTTTTATGCGTAGCCCTTTGTATTTTGAAAATTATTTCTATCCAAATCTATTCTGCTGAAGCGAGATTTGGGGACATTGCTGATGATGTAGACGATGATCAGGATGACGAGAACGAGGCCAATATGGGTGGCAACGGTGTAGTCTTAGTATTCGGGGTCTGGGGATTCGGAGGAGGCGAAATCGATAATTCTTCGCGGCTGGTCGACGCATGCTCAAAATATTGCAAGCAGGTCAAAACTCATTCTGATATGACGCATCCCTGTTGAAACTAATGTTCTGCCCGACAAAAACTCAGCAGCACGAGACTCCTTTAACTGTGTCTCAGAGTCGGCGCACTATTGGGCAAACTGGAGGGGTTACGTGGACGAAATGGCACTCAAGCTTTCAAACTTAAACAATGTAATTTTTCCAATTAACGATAGTGTGGATTGTTATGTATTGTGATCGATTTTCTGGCACATACCCTTGACGACTATGGCGATTACAACGACTGCAGTCCAGCGAGCACTCGCTGCGGTTCCGGAATGCTTCTGTCGATGGCGGCCGATGAAAGGCCGATCTTGTCGGCAAGATGGCAGTACCACCGCTCGGTGAAATTCCGGTACAATTCCGACAATGGCGGATGAAGCAAGGCTGACCGAACGTCGGCTGTAGTGCGATGGCGGATTGGTGGTTTTACCGGGGTTGGTATAGCGGTTTGTGGAGATGGTTCCGATGCACAGCCGCTTCCTTCTGACAAAGCCGGTCGACGACGTAAAGGCTGCCTTCTCGGGAAGGGAAATTCTCCTTGACGTTTAGGGCCTTCAGCTCGAGAACGATGTCTTTTACGTTTAGGTCAAGGTAACTAAATGTCACCTAGACCGTAGCGTGCAATGACGGTCCTTGACTCGCCAACCAGAAAGCAATTTGATTGGTTGAAAAAGGTCCTGAATCAGCTGAATTGGTGATTTACACTTCACCTGGATTCACTACTCGCACTTAGTATTCTGTATTAGTATTCGCACTCCACAGACACTTCTGGTCTACACAATCGCCTGAGATAAAGTGAACGATGGCCGTTCTTTGAGCATCGCAGAACCCTTCAGCTCATCATCCGTGACTCCGTGTCACCATTTTGCCGCGGCCATGCACACCATATTTCAGCTGTCGGCCGTTAAGCATGGCCGTATCGTCTGTCCAGTGGGTTTCACCGGAAGTGTTTACAATTTTACTTGAATGTTCGATCACATGGTGCATATTTAAAATACTGTATTGGACCTTTGTAACAGAACAGTTACACTGTATTTCGTACATTCCTGCGGTAGAAGATCGTTGTATCGTAGGCACCACTCCAGGCTATTTAGAACTTCCATGAACTAGAAAGCTTTGACCAGGGAACCGGTACCGAATGCATTGAATATGTTGGTACAAAAGCGCAGTGATATTCAATTGGTGGCCAATACTTCTTGCGTTGAATCCCTGCACACTTAGAAAAATTCATGTAAATTTAGGTGCTCTGAGGCTGACATATCTTCTTCTTCTTCTTCTTCTTCTTCTTCTTCTTCTTCGTATTTCAAGCTTATTGCATATCGCATATTTAGCTTATTGCGTGCTCTCAACTTAGTGTTCTAGATGCACTTCCACAGTTATTAATTGAGAGCTTTTGATGCCTGTATCATTTTTGCATTGTCGACATCGACATAAACTTTCCATAATAGTTTATGGCGTCCAAGAAAGAAGGAACTTCTCTGAAGTCCTTGGCTTTGGCGACTTCTGGAGAGCTTCGATCTTTATCGGATCAGGCAGCCTGTAACGATTCAACAAATGTCCCAAGTAGTCGATTCAACAAGTGCCCACTTCTTTCAGATCGACTGCTGGAACGTTCCCGACGCCTCCTTCACAGCCTGGGAGGGGACAAGGGCTTTAGTTCACCTTTACTGGAAGAAATGCAGCCTTAAAATTAGTTTGCCTGAAAACGGTACAGTTTGCTGATATCCTGAAAAAAATAAATAAATGGAACTGTTGAGGCAGTACCGCGTAATTCATTCTTGTTACATTATAACTGCAGATAGGGTAGAGCACTACTTCGTCGTAATCGCCCATTTCCGTTTTATCGAGCAGAAAACATCAGTATAATCAATGATTTCACCGTGCACAAATCAGTAATACGTTTGCACCGTTGCATTAGTTCACAAGCTACAACACAAAGCCTTGTGTGAATATTTACACTTATTGTTCTCAAAACAAAAGAAGTGCTCCTAGCGAACTCGCTGTTTCTACCTTCATCCGTAGAACGAAGAAAATCCAATGGCGTTTCAATGTGTTTGGATGGAATTGAAACTCGTAGGACGAATTTGGAATCAAGAAGCAGTGTTAGATTTTTAAAAATATATATCAACAATGGGCCTTATTACGGGTGTCACTACACGGTGATAAGGAAGTGATACTCAAAATAAGAGCCGTGATTGCCGTACAAATCAAATGGGAATCACTTCCATGATGACAAGTGACAAATTTTCACCGTGAAGTGACATCCGTAATAAGCCCCAATGTGTGGCTCTCCATAAGATTCAATGGTAATTATGGAAAGGAGAATAAATTTAGAAGTCATCTTTGATAGAAACATTTAATTTATTGTTAAAACCCGTTCAAGAAAGAGAGATAAAGCGTGAGTTGTACTTAGTAGGACGGAAATTAGATCAAAAATCCCGACGGATCGTACCACTCGTATTTTTTTTTATAATTACGTTCAATTTAATTAGGCTCAATCGAATAAACTTGACAGAGCCATACTCGTATTTCGAACCACTACAATCGAAGCTGTTCATTTCAAAAACTTTACAGGTTCAATGATCTACATTGCTTGGTAAATTTCATACAATATCGGACATTTCAGTTTAAATACGGATGCCCTTCAGTCTTGAACTGGAGCCTCTTTTTTTGACCACCGGAAAACAAATTCGAGTCCTCTGACATTAACCAGTTACGATGGCCGAAGTGCTGCTGATCCTGTCGAGTTGATGGGATCCGAGCACAACCTGAAAACGACAATCGTGTTAGAACCCAGCAGATGTAACAGCCCCAAGGTGACCCGAATCAAGTCAATATACAACTACCTAGATGTCTAGGTGAAAGGTTTTCGAGCAAAAATATCATGAGAGGCCGTATCGAGTTACACACGCATCTTAGTTCCTTTGATTCCAACCAGCACGTTGTTGATGAATAATATACGGGAATCTACGTAATAGGCCACTATTTTAAATTTGGGTTCACCATATTGGAATTGGTGGTTGACATCGCTAATCAACTTCTACTCATCAAGCCTATTCCGTATAGATACCCATATTCCATAGGTTCGGATGATTATTGACTGTTCAGAGGTCGCCATCTTGAAACTCCACCATCGTGGATTTTAAAATGGCGGCGGACATTGAGGTTTAGCTTCTACTCGGCGAGCTTATTCCGTAGATACCCACATTCAGATGCGTATTATTTCTCCGGAGGCCACCAATTTGAATCCACTATCTTATCTGCCATCTTGAGTTACAGAATGGTCCAGATTCCAAAAACTGCCATACCGCAATTCTCGAAACAGCCATGAAGCTTGCGGAACATCTTTTAAAATGTTTTTACCTTTTCCAGTTCTTTGGAATTTCATTTTTCTGAGCTCTTGGTATTGCCCTGAAATGAAAATGACACTGT